ACAGCTTTTTCTGTCTACGCAAACTGGGCTTTAAATGGAAAACTGTGGCCGTTCCTTAATCATCCCTGAATGTACACACATGCGTGTTTGTGTTTGCAAGTTGCATCCAGTATAATCTTCATCTGCCTTTCCCCCATCCCCTTTTCAGCTATTGGTATCTCAGTTTAGTCGCATGTGTACGAAATCCAGTGACGTGTCAGTGGGAAACCACCAAAGTGGCCCATCCAGGTCACAATCACGATGTGTCTGAACGCAGTCTGAGCTACAGCATCTGGCTGGTCAATGGAGCTCCGAGGCTACAAAGCTACAATAAATTCGAGCACCAATTCTCCTTCGAGACACATGACACGCTGGAGATCTTCCTGTTCATTCTTTGCCTCTATTTGCTGCTCAATGTCGTCGCACACGTAAGTTTCAGTGACTACTGTGATCTTGCTTGTAATGGCACATGTTTGCCGGAGTTCAACAATTTGTCCTTCTATCCGCTTCTCAGTGAGTGATCGTCTTTTTTTTCAAAGATTCGACCATCTTAGTTTTATCTCATATGGTTTTGTCACGGGCTGGTACACGATGGGACATTTAGAACAAAAACGCACTGCGAGTAGTAACTCGTAACTCATTGTAAAGCGATCACTTTCATGCACGTTGTCCCCCCACCCACCTCGACTGGGAAAATACTCTCAGTTGCTACCAGTCCTCCATCTGAAGGGGAGATTTCCCAGGATATAATTTATCTCGTAAGACATAAGGCATAAGGCCTTCGACCTGGACGGATTGTCCTGGATGGAGGTTTTGGAGTTCACGAAACTTCCGGGCTCTGTATGGGGGACGGAAGAGATTCCAACGGAATGGTGTGAATCGGTGATTATACGTATTTACAAGAAAGGTGATCGATAATCTTGCAAAAGCCATGGATTATTTTAACCAACATTGTCTCTAAACTTTTCGCTGGCATTGTTCTCCGTCCATTGTCTGCCACACGTGTACGGTTATGCGTGAGAATCAGGTTGGTTTTCGACTTGGTCGAGGTTGTGTTGACCACATCTTCACTCTTCGCCAAATTCCGGTGCACCGACATTCCTTTCGTAGACCCACCATTGCCATCTTTCTCGATCTTAAAGTGACTTTTGACTCAGTCGACCGCTCCAAACTCTGACGCAACCTCGCTCTAAACGATGTACCCGAGAAGTTGATTTCAATATTGCAATCCCTCTACGATAATAGGTGAAGTCGAGTCCAAGCTTACGGCACATTTTCGCTCCAGTTCACTAGGGAAAGTGGTGTTCGTCAGGATTACCCTCTATTTCTTTTCCTAGGTTACTTTGTTATAGGTTTAATTATGGAAGCAGCCCTACCCTCGTGCGAGAACAGCATCAACAATTTGCTCCCAGATTGAAAACTGTCTGATTTCGAGTATGCCGACTACATTATACTACTTAGTGAAGATCCAGGTAAGTTGCAAGCGTTTCTGAACAGTTTGGGTGCTAGTGCGTCCATGTTCGGTATGCGTTTTGCACCTTCGAAGTGTAAAAGGTTACCAGAAGACTGGGTTGGTTCAGCATCCAGACTCACTCCACCTGGGCAAGTAATAGACCAAGTACGTAAGTTTTGCTATTTGGGTAGCTACATCTCACCCGGTGGACGCATCACGGATGAAGTCTCAGTCCGCATGCAGAAGGCTTGGTTGGAATTTGCCAACTTGAGACATCTGTGGCGCCGTCGTGATATCCGGCTGTCCTTGAAGGGTCGAGTATATACTGTGGCCGTTTGGTCATGCTGCTATACGGCGCAGTTTCTTGGGCATTACGGGAGCAGGATAAAAGTAGATTGTCAGTGTCCGAACACCGTTGTCTACGTCACATTGCACGAGTTTGGTGGGGTAACTCGGAGAGCAATGCTGAGGTTAGGCGCAGAGTTTTAAGTAGTCGCGGTCGCCCACTGGATCAAGTGATCGACCTCCATAGATTGTGTTGTTAGGGCCATGTGCTACGCATGTCACCAGATAGGTTGTGACGGTGAACGATGTTCACCGAGGCAGGTAGTGAATGAGAAAAATATCAAGGGTGGTCCAACTAAGACCTGGCATGAAGGTATGAAAACCATAACCAGGAGTCTGGATCACATAGATTCCGTTAGGCTCTCTGGCTGGGGACCTCGGGATGATCGTAACCGATGGTTAGAGACATTTGATTGATATTACTGAGTGTCGTAAACAGTGGTGCTCGGGCATCTCAATTTCTTTGCAACCTTAGACAACTGAAATTCTCCATTTTGTGTTCTAATTTACTTTCAACTTTTCTGTCTTCGCCGATTCTTCATCCGAATGGGCAGCCAAAAGACAGCAACCAAAACCGGCGCACGCAAGTGCATGGTTAATGGTTGTACAAACTGAACTGAGCTGATCTTGTCAAGTGTGCATTTCAATGTCAGAAATACTTCAGACATCGCATTTGATTCAAAGGAATCGGTTTCATTCGAAAGAAACTCGGGCTCAATGGAATTTAGTCATTAGGTTATTGAGGGCTTAGACTGACTCTACTCATGCAATAAATCATGCTCACATTCACGTCTGTGCATGGTGATCGACTTATCGATCCATCTTGACGTGATTCGCTTCCTTACCCGCTGGGTTCGTTCATTCGTATCCATGACGCCCACTCGATCAACGATCACGAAAACAACATTCCCGGCTTGAACGTGTTTGCGGGGTGGGGGTGGGGGGATTTTCATCCTCGCTCGGTAACTCTCTCAAAAAGTGCTTTTGTTTGTTTACAGAGAAGTTAGTTTATTCGGACTGAACGGGGTTTAGACAGACCGCGTCCAATCGGTGACGTTTGACCGCCGAAACACCAATCATCTTGTGGGGTTCCCAGTGGAATGCCATTGGTTGGATTAACTTGGAGTTACAAAGAATTCAATTGAAGGTACAACGGATTCACTTGAAGTTGAAAAGGTACAGGTCTAGACCTCATTCTCGTCTGTCGCACCCTGATAGCTTTGTATGGGATTTGTCTTCTGACACTAGGTTTTCTTACCATGTTCGGTGCACAAATGTTTACGCGTGTGTTTATTTTGTCTCGGAGTTTTTTCAATTTTTCTCCACAGAGAATGCGCTCGTCATTCTACTCAGATGTAGCTTGTGCTTTCTCGGTTGCTAACTTAGACGACTTGACCAAGTAGACGAAGAAAATTCACTTCTTTGTTTTGTCGAATAATTCAGACCTGGTTCAAGAACCAAATCGCGCGGCTAAACTGGTGCATGGGGTAGGTGGTGGAAGAAAGGATCTGTGTTCTGCGTACCATGCACTTAAATGTGACAAATTGGTATCATTCACTTAAACCGGGCTTTTTGAATGAATACTGTTAAATGGATACCCTCAGGTTAAGCAGAACTGAATGCTAACAGGTGCGTCTCCGGGTTGTGGATAGGGGGACACCTTACCGAAGAAGGTTAGATATGAATAAGTTGTGGAATATCGCAACAAATAAGCAGTCGCGAACAAACAGCGGCCGCACTACGACGGTGTGGTGGATTTCAGGCTGGTCACCTGGCTCCTGTTGAAAAGCCACATAAGCCCAGTGAGGATGTCGTGACAAAGGTCGATTTGGCTGGCCTTTTCAAACTAAAGTCATTGACCCCCTCACTTCCTAGATGAGCGCTTATTTCCTGATGCCTTGCAGATCGCACTTGATTAAGCAAAGGCTAGAGATGCACCCTGAAAATAAAAGGCCGAGTGACGCTGGGGACGTCTCTCGTACCAAACTCCGAAGGAACTTCATGATCATGTCTGGAACTGACTGGTCTTTTCCAAGGAGCCAGCCGCAGTAAAGTAAAAAAAGTAAGTAATGTTTTTTTGTGTGACCAATCGTCAGAACCTGTTAATGGTGATATGCTCTCCGAGCTGGTGCTGTTGTTCGCAGACGTTTCGTGGCCAACATCCGCATCCCGAGCAAAACAATCATGCCACATTATTTCCATCGGAACATATATTCTTGAATCAGACGAAACAATCGTACCATATTTGCAATGCGGTGGATCACCGTGTGAAGGCGGACAAAACGCACTGGACAAGTGTCTCTTTTGGGGACTCGTAAACAATGCTCAGATTTCCGGTCCCTGGCAAAAATTGGGTTGGGTTAGTCCTGAGCTCTGGGATTGACAGTCAACATCCGAAGCTAATAGATACATTTAGTAACATAGATTGTCTTAGTCGGTCGAGTTTGTAACGACCGGGCACGGTGATCGTTGCCTGTTAAATCAAATGTGCTAATTCAAACTATCTATACTGTTTTTACAAGTGTTGCTACCTCTGTTTTTGTCTGTGGAATCTAAAAATGTATAATAAACATTCAGGGAGGGGGCCGTTGCCATACAAAGGCGGTCTGGGGAAATACAGGTGATGGAAAGGTACGCGACGATAGCGGGGTTCGAATTCAAAACTGCCAGTTCTTTGTTTTGACGACCTTACCACTTGACCACCGGCGATCTTGGTTCAAATCCTCGACCTGAAGTGTATACCACATCAGGGTGCGACAGACGAGAATGAGGTCTAGTTTTGTACATTTTCAACTTCAAGTGAATCTGTTGTAGCTTCAATTGAATCCTTTGTTTCTTCAAGTCGGCTTCATTTCGCATCACAAACACGTTCTTTTCATATGGTTTATGAATTGGATGGAATTTCCTGCTAAAATTATGATGATTATTGACTCGCGTCTCGCTTTCCCTTACGGACCACGTTCCTCTTCCGTCACTGCTTGGCAGGTGAAGCTTCATGCACACTACTCGATACACAATCATATGCTTTTGGCAAGTCTCTGGTTGTCCTGTATCGGTTTGTTGCTGACCAGTATACATTTGGCCGTGTTCTCTTTCGATGGTCGTGGTCTCGGTGGTGTGTCCGAACTCGGAACGTTCAGTACACAGTGGGGTGACGCATTGTTCCTCGCGTTGCTTCTATCCACGGCGGAAGTCGGCTTTTTGACCACGACGGATACTGTGAGGAGCCGAGCATCGAATTCCATTGGTGCCGACCATCGAGGTCCTGTTTCCGGGACACGTGATTATGCTTACCACGCACTGACTGCAGACACGGGAGAAGGGTCATCGTCACCGGAAAAACCCAGTCCACGGAGTTGCGGCCGATCAAGCAAACCATGGCCGTTTTTAATCAGTTTAATCGCGTTGTTTTTGTGCCTGCAAACTATTCTGTACGGTTGGGCCTCAGTAAGTCTGTTTTGATATTATGTCTTTGGTTTACCTATCTGCCTACTTCATTCCGCCGCCCCGTTCTTAAAGATGACCGCTGTCACATGACCAGGTTCAGCACCAAAATGAGGATCGATTCCAGCCCGAGTAGACTGTCGGATAGTTTGATGAATAACCGGATGCACATTTAAGTCGCTAACGATATTTTATTCACGATGTGTTGTTTATATATATATATATATATATATATATATATATATATATATATTTCACACATGTCTGACGCAAGACTGTGTGCCAAAGAAATTATGGTACAATAGCCTTTATAAAAAGAAATACGTTCCATGATTGGCATGTAGACTGGATACCGACAGATTACCCAGACCAAGGCAGATGACGAATGCACAACCGGAGCTTTCGGCTAGCCAAAGCCTGACCCGCAAGGCAGCGGGGCGATGTGTGAAATCTGCAGTCAATTGGAGGCCAGTGTCTAGTTCATCGGAACATACGCCATTTGGACGGGGTAAAATGTCCAAAGTGCCCAATATACCTCAATGCCCAATCGAGCCTGTGACAGTCGCGACAACCGGATAGATGTGTGTGTGATTCGTACGCCTCCTCACGGTTGGTTTGGAATCAGGGTTTTTGGCCAACTCTCCTAGGTGAACCACCGTTGATTCACCAACCCGTTTATAGCCCCGGGTGTCGGCTTTTCGTCCACCTAGGGAAAACAACCACCATGAAAAGGCAGCGAGCAGGGCTTCCTCAGCAGAATTGGCTATTCGAGACGCTTGGTCGTATGAGAGCATTTCGCGAGGTACAAGGGAAGGATGACCAGCCGTAACCCGAGACACCCACTCCCGAGCATACTGAGGCTTTTAGAGGCCTTTTCGGCGTGTGATTATTGATGTATGCCCTGTTATATCGAACATTCATGTCAAAGATGATCGCGTTCATCGACAGGTGTGAACTAGGTTAGTGATATCTATCGGACAGTCGACATCAACGTTAATCAACTCGGTTAAATTAGCCCAAATCAGTTGGTTACGCCATTAAATTTAGTGAAGGTTTCGGTGAGTACACGGCTTCTTTAACGAAAGTGCGTCCGTGGAAAAAATCCTAGTTTTATCCAGTTGAGGCATTGTGAAAGACTCCTGTGTAAGCGGAACATTCTAGCACATATTCGTCTACGGACATGTGCATTGTGTTTCATTCCCACGCGTCATTGGTCGGTTCTCGAAAATGGATAATCTGGTCGGTATATATACACAATCACGGTATTTGGAGCCTCATGCTTGATTGGATGGAAGCGTTTAACCGAAACGGACCGTATCGGTTCATGTTTCTGATTCGCTTTCCAGTCCTATGGACGATATCTGTGGTATTCCACAAGGATCTGTGCTTGGCCCGTGACTTTTCTTAACAGTCATAAACGTCCTACCGAAGGCGCTGGGATCAAAATCATTACCGTTTGCAGATGACGCCAAAAGTTGGAATACAGTGACACAGCCAGCGGGCTCGCTGGCACTCCAGGAAACGCTGAAAGTAGCTCATCTCTCGTCTCTTCTGAACGACGTTGAGTTCAATGTGCCAAAGTGCAGGGTTCTGTCTCTACGACACACGGGGCGATTTTCGTATTTCCCGGGAAATTAACACCTGCTATACGCCCCAAGTGGGAAGAATCTGGGCATCATTCAAGGAAATTTAAACTGCTCACTCAACTGCGCCAAGGTGTCGAATGCAGCATTAAAGAATGTTGGTTTGCTTAAACGGGTCTTTGGTCTGTTTGAGTCAGCATTTTTTCCCCGCCTACTATCAGCATACATTCGGCCTCTCACAGAGTACGCTTTCCAGGCATGGAATCCATGGCTACAACGTGATAGCAAAATGTTGGAGCGTCCACATAGGATGGCCACCAAACTGGTTAGAGGGTTGAGTCTTTATTCATACGCAGATAGACTGAAGTCGCTGGGGTTATATTCCAATCACTACCGGCGCATCAGAGGAGATATGATTATGACATACCAAATAATGCAAAGTCCAAGCCACCCGTGTCACCCGCTGCTAAAATTATCACTCAAACTTCAACTTAGAGGACATCCATTCAAACTGGTGGTATCAAAATGCCGATTGGAATACTGGCGTCATTCATTCGCAGTCAGAGTGTGTTCGATCTGAAACTCTTTCCCACCCCACATCGTCTGTGCACCAAGATTGAATCTTTCAAACCGAGACTCGACGAAACATTAGCACGCTTTACATTCCAACATAAGTGAAGTGAAGCTGCATGCAGCAATGGAAGAATCCCGTATCATGTGATGTCTTACACAAGGAATTGTATGTATCACTGTCTTTTAACCACAACAGGAACCTATAGGATGGGAAAAGCATGAGGCTGTAAGTGGTTCCCATGATAAATCTTTGATCTTTGGTAAAAATCCTTATTACTTTCAACTATATTATGCGCAGCGATTTGTCATCTATGACCTCAGTTATTGGTCAAACCAAACTCATCGCATGGACTTGCGGTTCTAAACTATCACTTTTATCACACCCGGATGCGGAGAACAGGTAGAGTTTTTCCCTGTGCTTAAAGTTTCTGGCGATTAACCGGATTGTAGTGAGGAATGCGGATGTTGGAGCATTTAACTTCATATTTCCAATGCAACATTGCGTCAGATTCTTAATTTGAAGTTCCCTAATTCCAGTTTCGTTCACGCCTAAAAACACAGTCATCTTTCAACTGAGTACAACTATTATAAATAATTCCACTAGGCGGTTCCTGGTCGAGGAAAGTTGTTTATCGTCATGAAGGTCAGGATATGGTTGAATTTTCATTCATACAACAATACATCTCATTTGGAACTAGTTCACAGAATTCCCACACACGCACACACAGGATAGTTAATGCAATGGCCCACTATCCGGTGCTCATTTTTATATTCACCGTACCGAATAGCAGCAGTTTTCTCCAACAGGTCTTGTTCATTTTCGGTCGTTGAAAAAAACCGCTGATAGCACCTTTTGTGTACTACTCACACGTGAGTAGTATCTCACAACACAGCATTTCCTAGTGGATCTCATCTGGTGTACTACCCCAGGTTCTCTAACCTAGATTACACTATGAATGTAACCAATAGTCTTGAGGCCACAACATATGCCTCATCATAGGTCTTACTGGATTATCTCCATTACACAACAACTTTTCTCAACGTGTACTTGTTCGGCATCTTAAAATGTATTTTAATTCATTCAGGAATACCCGAGGACACTAATAAGTTAGATATAAATGGCTGGAAAAAGTTTCTCACAAGCACACGACCGGTTTTCCGCCGTCCTTGCCACTCGTCATGTATGCGTATCCGGTAGTCTTCTGCCTGGTCATTCTTTGGCTTGAACTATGTGAATTATGCAATGAAAACCTCATTTGCAGCTCGGATAATTGATTTAAGGCAAACAAGTCTCGAAGAATCATCGCGATTATTCTGTATGAGGTATTGTGGGTTAGATGCGCATAACCTCAGCCAACTCGACGCTAGGGCCGATTTTCAGTGTAGTGAGTAATATGAATGACTAGACAGAATTTCCCAGAAGCACACAACCCATTTGGCGGTTGCAGTTGAATTGTCGAAAAGCTCGATTAAAACGAGATCGAGGTTGTACTCTTCTGTTCATAATGGTATCACGAAACACTCAGTGACACAATCACGTTGTTCGCAACCGCCCGCGTCCACCTCCATTGTGTTCCCCCAAATTTTACTATTCGACTACTGAATAAAAACACAAATCATGCCTGTTTTCCACTTTCAATATCGTATCTCAGATAAGGACTTCATCTTTTCTTCCACAGTTTTTCTCGTTCCTGGCCCATCGGGTAAATTCATAAATCTTTCTACTTCCTCGTACGTGCAGATCGATCAGGACCCGGTCATTGACTTTTCTGTGTGGAACACTGTGCCTGGCTGTTTACTCTTAGCCGTGCGATTTGCTGTGGCTTTCTGGTTTTTGGCTATTCTACGTCGACGTCGATTAGGTTTAGACACCATGGGTCGGGAGTTGGATGAGGCGGGTGATGTGCTACTCGGTCCAGGGATCGATCTCATACATTTCGCCGCTTTCTTCCTGCTATGGATGCTTCTTCTTCCCCTGGTTGTATTCATTGCCGAGACCAGTGTGTCGTCTCTGTGGCGACGTAAAACAATCGCTAGTAAGTGCGGATTTGTCTTGTTTTGCTGTTGTTTTTTGCAGAGGGTGTGGGTTGCGGTGGTGTCTTATTCCAAAATCTGTTCTCAAATGGTTCTTTAGTCCTGTCGCGCCTCATCACTTCCTAGGCGGAGCTTTTTCAACATCGACCAAGTCAAAACTGTGCATGCTTGTCTGTAATAAGTGTCGTTTATCCGACCCATGTTCTTGCTGTCTGACCGGGGTACTTTTATGGGATCGTATGACCGGCCATTCATCACAAATTTAAATCATTGCTAGCCCAACT